TTCTTGTTCTTGTTTAGTGTTTATGCCACAGATACATTTAACATAACTATAATGGACCTAACAATTATAAATAAATACAAAATAACTATTTTTGTAGGGTATTTGTAAGCTGAAAACCACAGAAATGGATACAGCATGTGGAAGTCTTTGTGTCCTCAGAACTGATTAAGAAAAGACTGTGTTGTGACTATACATACACTGATACACACTTAAATACATGCAGTGTGATGTATGTGTGTATCGTCATAAGTCTAACCTGAATAAAGTGTTTAGTCAGTATTGTTTTTTAGTAAAACATTCAAACCTCCCTAACTGCTACAAATAAAGGGAATTTAAAGTACAAATACATCAGCGCATGATTGAAGATGTAAAGATGTGAGCACAGTGGCACAAACCTGTATGAGAGTGAAGACACAGTCATTCACAAACAACAAATAACAATGCATTCACACAGTCTTCTTGCACATTTTGATATCTGTACCAGTTTATTTACCAGTACCAGTTTCTTATAGATCTAACCAGTAAACATTCACAAAGTTTATGGCAGGACATTTCCGGTTGTACTTGGGTTTTCTATGATCGTCTCAGTCCCCAAACTGTGACAACCATCACCATATTATGTTTCTTTGAAGACCTTTGTTGCTGAACTCTCTGTCAGTGCTAATGGGCTGGGAGGAAGAGGAGTCAACTGGTAATAGTACCGTGTTAGGTTGGTTTTAAGCTGCATTTGTGTCAGCGGCAATTACCTAATCTAACATCCTATGCCCTGTGGGGGTTGTGAAGTAATCTAGAATGACGTAATAAGATTTCAGTGTCTACTACCACTATTGACTACTGCTAGATGGCACATTGAGTCTGTGGATCTGTCATCAACAACATGCTGGCCTTGGATGCAGCAAGGAAAAAGACGATTGACCGACGGAGTGAGGACGTGCAATTCTTTTAGCAATGGACTAAAACAGGAACGCTGCTGCTGGGCACAAGACAGTGGGCCTCCACCATCCTACCATGGAGGGGTCAGCTGTAAAAAAAGTGAGTTTTCTAGCTGTTTACTTGCAGCGCTGCCGCCGTCTAGTGAGTGAGAGATCAGTGTCTGGTCTGATGTCCATCTGTCAAAGGTTTAGTTCACCTTTGGTCAGACCACATGTGTTGCTTCAGTGGGCTTACAGTCAAAGTTTATTGTGATTAAAGTATGTAGATGTTATGTAACTTTTCATATGATGGACACTTTGACCACAAATATATAAACTGTGCCTTCTTACAGAATCTTATTATTGCAGATTAAATATTATTGACACAAATACTCAACAAGTTCATTATAGTTATTTTTAATCTCTGTTATTATGAAACTATATATGTTAGCACAATGTCTGTTTTCATTAAAGACTTTTCTGCATTTTTATGTGTTTTAAACACAAAATTTATTGTGCATATTTTTGCTCCATGATGGGCATTTAAATGCTGTCTCGAAGTCCAAATTGTTCTGATCAGTGAGCTGATTTGAACATTTGATATAACATTATTGCAATGTCAAAACATTGCTGTTCAATCTTTGATCAAAGTCACATCTGAAGTGATTACATAACAAGGTCATCTTGGAGCCTGGATGGTTTTACATAAGAACAAACAGCGTGAAGATACAAGGCAGCCGTGTTGAACTTCCTAAGAAGAATAAAGTCTTTTAATCTGACAGCAACATTACAATGATTAATGGTCAAAAAACGTATCTTTTGACTGATTCAGTCCAACAGACAGATTGCTTAGTATCACAGAGCGGCATCATCAAGCTAACTTCTGACACTTCAGAGCATTTCTACAAGTAGGTGAGAGCTTCCTGTAATCCATCTGAAACCTTCAGGCCTTAATTGGAACAATGGCTTTCATCAGGCCTTACACCTGACTGGTTATCTCCCCTGCAGGGGCCCAAGAAGGCCCTGAATCTGGAGGCTTATAACTACAGCAGGAATAGTAAAAGGCACAATACCAAATACAGAGTTTGGGATCATATTTCAGCTGTTGGACTTGTTTATGTCAGCGTCTTGGTCTTATTGGCTTGCCTGACTTTGCCTGAGAAACGCGAGTCATAACAGCATCTGCCATCTGCTCCCTGGTCACTGTAATCTGTGTCTCCTGGCTATCCGGTTTCAGTGGGTGTGGCAGAAGTAAACGATTGTGTTACAACCAGGTTTCCCTTCCACTGTAAGTGGCCTGACTCTGTGTGGTTACATCATTTTATTTGCCACTACAAATAAAGCTCTCTGCCCCACACCAAAACTGCATAACTACCTCTCTGACAGACTGGCAGAGCTGTTATGTCACCTTCATTAAACAAAGCTCACGTACTTAAGCAGCACAGCAGGCACCGTCTTTTTTAGCCTTTAGCTAATTATACCCTCTGTCAAATGAAGGGACGATCACAACAAAGGTGTTTTGACAAACCAGGCTGTGTGCATCAGTGTTCACATGCAAAGTAATTAACTTGTGAAATCACTAACAAAGAGCATCGTTTTTTCTTTTTCTCTTGTTTGACTGCACATGACATTTCACAGAAACTGGGATATGGGCTTCTCAAAAAAGGTAGTTTAAAGCACAAATGTTGAATGATAGATTAGATTTGATCGATAGCAGAATCGTATATATGTTACCAATCAAATATTGCTATCAGTCAAATATATAGTCGTTATAGTAGGATTAGAATTAGCTAGAAATAATCATCTTTTATATGAAGTAGCTTCATCCATCAGTACTGCCGGGTGAATGAAGCAGTGTATTCTGTGTTTAAAATGACATCTTCAATGACACTTCGATTAAATGTTACAATTCTGTATCTCCAACAATCAAAACTATGAGGACATTCTGTTACCATGTGATAGTTAATAACAAGGTAGAGTCAAACTTGGGTTTTTTTTCCACATTTATGAGCTTTAAGAAGAAATTTTGAGTTGGTCCATCCACAGGTGACAGCAGCAGTGAGCAGAAGAAACTCAACGGCTCCTCAACAGAAGCGCCGAGCTATCATAACCTGCACCGAGAGCTGATGCTCAGCCATAAACGGTACGCCGAAAACTCCTCTTACTCTGTGGTCTTAAAGTCGTCACCCACTGAAACAGAGATTGGCAGGAATTTTGTGTTTGCATGTGTCGGTAAAACTGTAGCTCTGACTTTGAAGGGGTCTGCTGCTGGAGGAGAAACCGGAGCTGAAGCGAGTGTTGGAGCAGCGCAGACTGGAGCTGCACAAGGAGGCGGAGATGGCACAACGACAGCCCTCAGACCTGGAGATGGAGCTCCGCAAGAGGCAGCAGAAACTGCAAGAGGTAAGGGGCATATAACTGAGAGGGAATTTCACAAAATACTAACAGAATACAACCTGGCTCTTCTCAGGCTTTCTCTTTAACTTTGTGGATATTTTGTTGGGATAAACTGATGTTCTTCCCCCCAACAGTACGAGCAGGAGGAGATCAGGCAGCGAGAGAGTCAGCAGAAGATCCCAGAGTTTGTCCGTGTGAAGGACAACCTGAGGCGCACACAGACGTTTGAGCAGTGAGGCCCTGAGGCTCTCCCATCAGCCCCTGCAGCATCTCACCATAGTGGCCCTAAATCTGGATGTTCACAGTCTACAGAGCTGCATCCCCCATACACCATTTTGCTTTACGTTTCTTCACAATGTACTTTGAGTTATCACATTTTGTGTAAGCAATCACTCATACCAGGCTAACATGTAATCCAGAAATACACTATTTTGCCAAAAGTACTCTCTTGTCTGCTTTCACATGCATAGGAACTTGAGTGACATCCCATTCTTAATCCGTAGTGTTTAATATGATCTCAGCCCACCCTTTGCAGCTACAACAGACTCAACTCATCTAAGAAGGCTTTCCACAAGGTTTAGGAATGTGTTTGTGGGAATTTTTGACCATTCTTCCAGAAGGGTATTTGTGAGGCGGTCCATCATTAGTTGGATGAGAAAGCCTGGTTCACACTCTCCACTCTAATTCATCTCAAAGGTGTTCTGTCAGACTGAGATCAGGACTCTGTGCAGGTCGGTCAAGTTCCCACAGAAAATTGGGAACATGAAATTGTCCAAAATGAATTGGTATGCAGAAGCATTAAGAGTTCCTTCACTGTAACTAAGGAGTCAAGCTCAACTCCAGAGAACAGGTCAGTACTGCTGTAGAGTCCAGTGGCGGTGCGCTTCACACCACTGTACCTAACGCTCGTGCTTGGTTACGTGATGCTTGGATGCAGCTGCTCGGCCATGGAGACCCATTTCATGAAGCTCTCTACACACTGCTCTTGAGCTACTCTGAAGGCCACAAGAAGTCTGGAGAGATTGACTGCAGAAAGTTGCTGACCTCTGCGCACTTTGCACCTCATCATCCGTTGACCCCGTCGTTGTGATTTTTAAATGACCTACCTGAGTTGCTTTCATTCCCAAATGTCCTCCACTTTGTTGTAATACCACTAACAGCCGACTGTTGAATATTTAGTAATGAGGAAATTCCACAAGTGGACTTGTTGCACAGGTGGCATCCTATCACTGTACCAAGCTGGAATTCACTGAGCTCCTGAGAGCAACCCATTCTTTCACAAATGTTTGTACAAGCAGTCTGCGTGCCTAGGTTCTTGATTTTATCACACAAGTGATTGAAACACCTAGACTGAATATGAATGAGTGACTACTTTTGGCAATATAGTGTACTTCCATAAAGTCAGTCACAGTTCTTTTCCGAATGGGAAAGGAAAAAAAAAAAAAAACCCCCAACGAACCCCGAAGCCGGAATTTTAAAAAAAAAGGTTTTCCAAAACAAATAAAACAATTTTTTTTTCCAAATTAGATCAAATGAGCATGAGATATCAGTTAAGCCTGATTCTGTCCTTTGTAAAGACCATTATGCAACTGCTGAGAGGAACATTTTCAACAGAGCTGTTTTGTATGAATAAAAATTCCCCAACACTGCAAAATATGCATGTTTGTTTATTCTTCTCTGTCATGACTTTGGATTTTTTAGAGTGTCTGAGTGCTGTGGAAATGAAAGGTTTATAGCTTGCTGTGATGTTTTGTTGCACTGGACACCATTCAAAGCACAGGGGACTGATTTGCATGCGGCTCCACTCCCCGAGGGCTCTCACGGTTCTTTCACATGGATATGGGACTTTGCTTAATTAGCTGATCTTTTCATTCCATCACGCCATGAGAGGAGAAAGCACAGGCCATCTGGAGAAGGCTTTTCATCATCTATAGACTAGGAATACCCAAGGGTCACTGATACAACCGGCTGAGGGCACATAGTAGTAGCCAGTTTGCTGTTTCAGAATTTATTTTAAGTAGTTTCAGCAATTATGTCATACACAAAAGAAACCCACATGTGCAAATTGAATTAACAGAACAACTTTAAATGTGCAATAACACATAAGTGCTGTACTTTTAAAGTTAAGATGTGAGGTAACATTATTGTATAATTGTACGCATGCAAATAGCCTAAAGGCTATTCTCAGAATTTTAAATTTTTAATATAGTTACACACATGTATTTTGTGTAAGAACTTGAGCACTAGTTGGTTACAGATGTCAAATAAATGTATTGAAGAGTAAACGTGCAACATTGCCTAAGGCAAAGTAATAATAAAAGGACCAGCATCAAATATAATAATAATAATAATAATAATAATAATAATAATAATAATAATAATAATAATAAAAAAAATGTAAGCGAATTACATGGAAATGAATTACAAAGAAGATCACATGGTTAAATATAGCTTTGTGGAAAGTAAACAGCAATCAAAAGTATATTTCTCTGTCATTTTAATTATGTTTTATTTATGTTAATGGGTGAATGGCTCACGCTGTACACAATTTTTCATCATCATGGCGGAGGAAAGAGGAGAGCGTGGTCTTCTCAGCCAGCACTTACCAGCCAGCTGTCCTGTTTTCTTTCTTTCTTTTAACAAAACTTTGCCTCTACCGCCTCCCTTTCGCCTTTTGTGCCTTTTCTCAAATTAAGCCCCCCCTCAGCGAGTCGCGTGCTGTGTCAACACGCAAAGCGTGTCTGGAAAGTCTGCAGCGTCGGACCAAACCAATACAAGAAGCGAGGGGGGCGTTACAGACAGAAAAAAATAAAATCCCATTCGGTTAAGCCGAAATTACTCTATTTTACAAAAGCTTGAGCTGTGACTTAAATGTAAGTTAATTTAAAAATGAACATTTTTACATAAATACTGAAGCAAAAATCAACAAAGCTCACCCCCGCCCGTAGTTTGATCCAGAAAGTGGACTCGTCTAAAACAGATGTCCGGAGCTCTTCCCTCACATCTGACCAGAGAAAGTTTGAACTCTCGCTGCCTCAGGAAAGATGCTGATGTAGAGGAACAGACCGCAAGCTGAAACGTAAGTACAGACTATTTTCTGTGCGTTAGCAAAGAAGAAGTCAGAAAATAACCGTCGATGTTAATGTAAACAGCAAAAAGGTAGGCAAAGCTGGAAGTTTTTATACAATTAAATTTTAGAGAAACGTTACTGAGCAGTTAGCCAAACTGGCTATTTGTGCGGTATATAATGCTTAAAACAGAAATAACTTCAAGGGATATGCTATTATGACACATCTAAACATTTCTCTCTTAATCTCTCCTTTAATCCATCATAGTTTAGATGAAAATCTTTTTCACTTTTTATTTCACTGCTTGTGTGCTTGCTTATTTTTACACTCATATAAAAGCGAGCTAAGCTAAACCATAAATATAATGTGCCTTGTGTTGATATGTGTAGATTAGTGAGCAGCTATGAAATGCTTATTTGATTTATCCGTCAGTAGTAACGACCCACTAGTATAATATGGTCTGGCAATGATACAGAGTAAGTACACTCACTCTCAGTACTTGAAAACATGCAAATCCAAGACTTTTACTTGAAATGGATTACTGGGGTGTGGTGTTTTTACTTGAGTGAAGCACTGACTACTACAGACCAGAAAAAGATGTCAGAAATACAACCACCAGACTCAATAATAACTGGGCTGCTAAATGAATGAACAGGTTGCTTTCAAAGATAAACAACCCCGCAGGACTTATGGTTGGGAAAAGGCTTGTCGGTACCAGCTGTTTTGTTGTCCTCAGCAGAAAAACAAACACAGACAGGCATGAAGTGTCACTGTGATGCTGGAGACAACACCTCTGTGTCGTCCTCCACTTCTTTTGTGAGTGGTGGGCACTTGAGGGTGACAAGCTGTAACAACATCCCGGCGACGGCCTGAGATGACCATCAGTGTCCATTCAGAGGCTTCAGAAATGATGACTCAGAGGGACAAGGTGTCATGAATCATGATCACCCCCAGCCAGTGCTTCAGCCTCTGGAGAACAATGGAGGATCTCTTCTGGCCTTTGGTATTTACACTGTCACTGGGCTGTGACAGAGCTGGTGTGTCTGGTCAGCATATGGCCTCCAGTGACTGAAAGCAGATCGGCTTGGTGCTTATTACCCCTGCATTGTCTGCCTGAAAGTGTTGTTCTGAATGAAACTTGTCAGAGTAAAGATGCTGACGGCATATCAAGTCTTTGATACCATTCCTTTTGAAGCTCATGCTATCACAGCCTCTTTTACTGCTCTTTTCAAACTCAGCGCTGCTTCTTAAGGCAAGGATCTCACTCCAGTGATGTCCTTTGTAATACAATACTTCATTTTTTTCTCTTGCCTGCAACTCCCCCACTCTGATACGCTTTTCTTCCAGCAGCATATATTGTCTACAGAGCGGATCCATTTTGCTGAATGGATTTTGGCTTTCCATGAGACTCTGAAAAAAAAAGAAGGCATGCTGTAAAGTCGTTTGGTTTCTTCCATAGTATCAGCATTCAGAAGAGAATCTTAATTACAGGGTTCGAACAGGCCTCGGTCTGGTTTCAGGCAACCCTCACGGTCCCCGTTGGTAATTCCAGGGCCGACCACAGTGGTAATGAGCACGGAGGTGATGGCTGCAATCCAGGAGTACGCAGCTCCAGAGGCTCATGGGAAAGGGTGGTGGGGGAAGTCTGGGAGACAGTAAATCCACATTGTGATCTCTTGCCATAAACATCAACTTCCGTAGATGTTACACAGTCATGGTCCAGTGACCAGTGAGGATGGGTGGGACAGTCATCTCGTACTCCTGATGTGTTTCTAGGCAGACATCATAAGCAGTGATCAAACACTTCCCTGAATTAAGATGTTTTGACTACATCAATCAGGTCTTCCGGGTGGAGACTGTGCTATCAGCAGCTTTACTTCAGGAAATGGACTGCTATTCCTGTCACAGTCAATCATGAAAAGTCTTGGGTTTTTTGGCGCTCCTTTACAGCGTAATGTCAACAATCCCACGGCTCCAGGTTCTTATAAAAGCTGTGACGAATGGCATCAGCGTTTTGGCAATAAACTGCGACTTCAAGTGAGAGTTTTTCCCAAACTCATCCACACACCCACCAACTCACCCACTCACTCACTTAATCAGCCTAGACCTCCGACCACAGACTCTTGTGAAAGTCTTCAGACAGTTATGGGGTGTAAGTGGGTAAATCCCACATTACCCTGTCTGTCTCTGATTACCAAGCTGGATTCCTGTTGACGTATTTAGCTTTAGATTGCTGCAGCATGGAGCCATGTGTCTGGGAGCAAAACCTTGCACCTTAAAATGTCAGCCCTGCTCCATTCTGATACTCTCTCGCTGTCTCAACAGCCTTGCCTCAATATTGACCCGGCACAGCCGCTCAAGCCACAGTTGTCAGCAGATATTGCGCCTGCAGCAGATTATTTAGGCTGGTTTTGGGACACAGGCCCTTTGTTGCAGTGTTGTTTTACTAACTCGAGCTGCTTAGCTGTGTTCCATTGTGCCACTGGCTGCTCATAGCTGCGTCAGTTCGCATGAGTTGCTGTTTTGAATGGAGAAAACCTATAGGACACACAATAATATCCTGTCAGAGAAGGTTTTCATTCACCCAGGCTCTGTGCCTTCCTTGTCTCTACAGGAAAAGGCCCGATACAATCACCAAACACAGGAGCTAAGGATTATACACAGAAGCCTTACTGTCACGTGGTGTCTATTTCCATGGCATCTTACCTCCCCTTTTATTCCTGACCAGTGACACATCATTCACTTTTCGAAGGAGGTTTGGCTGGCCCAAAAAGTTTATGAATATGTGGCATTGATGCAAGGCAAGGAAATAACATCCTTTAACCATGTTAGAGACCATAATGTGGCCTCTTGTGATCTGCTAGCTTTTTTAGAAGAAGTCTGAGACATGTGAGATCCAAAATAAATTAAATGACCTACAAAATTGAGAAAATAAAGGCAGCATTCTCTGTCTCCGCAACCCTAAGGTAATTTCAAGACAACAACCACACACAGACTCATGGTCTGAATTTAAATGGCTGTCAGCTTGTTGAACGCTATTTCCAATTTGTTGTTGTCACTGTCTTTCTCTTCTTGCTGTTGTTCCACTCCACACCTTGTTTTAGTTCATTATTAGTCACATGTTTGCTGGAGAGCAACAATGGGACAGAGCGGGTCATAAACAAGAATTGTGTCGGCCAGGTTTTTGTGCTCAGCATTGCACAGGAGTCAGCAGGCACCTTGTGATCTGATGCTGCGAGTCCAAGCCCAGCATTGAGACATTCTTCCACTTCAAAGCTCCCAGGGGGTTTTCTGGACACTGGTTGAATGGGAGCCGAGGAAGGGGCGCACAGGGGGAACAGGTGCAGTCCATAAGTGGGGTAATTCCCGCTGCCATCTGCTTTCTTTTTCGGGGTCTGGGCTCTTTAAACGCCCTCTGACACGCCTCATGGCGACACACTCCCCTAGCCGCAGCCGCAGCATGCCCCGTCACCATGGCACCGTGATTCAGATTAACCCCGCACATGTGCCGAGTCAACCGTGGGGGTCTGCTTCTTTTGTGAGTGAGCAAAGGGAGGGCGACAGGGGTGGAGGAGGGGGAGGGAGATGGAGAGCTGCACAGATAAGTGTGTAAAAAGGACACTTGCCAGTCTTTCACTTTTGTTAAGTGAAGCAGCAGAGACAGACTTATTGAATCCATGCGAGGGGGAATACAAGCAGTTTATTCCCAGCAGTAAACGGTCTCAGTTTAGTAATCTGAATGAACTTTGTTGTTTCCAACAGGTATATATAAAAAAGTCAAGAGCAGAGAGACAAGATGACGGCCATCGAGAGTAAAGAAGAGATCAGCGACACGGACAGTGGGATTATCCTAAACTCCGGTAAGGACTGTGCTAACAGATGTCCAGTCAAGTATCTGCATCTTTCATTTTTGCAGATTTCATACTGTTACTTACAACTAAGAGTATAATGGAATTTGAGGCTCATAGCTATATTAACATTTGAGAAATGAAAGAAAAATAAATAAATCAGGTGATATTTTGTTAAATAAACTTATATTTTTACTTTGTAACTATGTAATTGGGACATTTTGTCTGACTTTCCTCTAACATACTGCATCTTTAGCATTTTTAAAAAGGTTTGTTGCTATTTATCAGCCCACGCTTTACATCAGTACTGATGTACTATATCTGCTGTAGCTCCAGTATCAATACTGACATAACAAGATAGCAAACTTATTAGACCGCTACTCAGTGTAAGGTTTCTGCGATAGCTGCCCTGTATGAAAAGTATTGGCAGTTTCTATAATGATTAATCCACCAGTCTGTGCAAACAGAATGATAGTTTTAATGCTATAATATAATTAATGTTGATAT